AAAAAAAAAAAAAAAAAAAAAAAAAAAAAAAAAAAAGTTTAATTCATTTCAGGATTTCACAGGGGACGAGATATCAACATCTTGCTGGTAATTTTTAGCAGTTCTGCTATTGGTAGTAGTGTCCCTGTAGTAGGACTGACACATGTTAGGATTCTTCTTAATCTTTACTGGGCTGTTACAAGGGTTTCCTCTCAGACTTGCAAAGGTCGAGTGTACTTGCCTAGAAATAATGTGCTGAGTTTGTAACTACTGGAGAAAATAATTTGGCGCGGAGCTATTTCCGTGCACCTCCCCAGCACCGAGAACAATCAGGCGCCAGCTGAAGACAGCGACTGCCAAAAGAGCATTTGGATGAGGTGGGTGTTTCTGGGTGGTACAGTCATGTGTTAACAAGTGTGACTGCATCACTAAAACAAATGTATTCCTCAGTCCCCAAGCTCTTTGTAGGGGTATGCCATCCCCAGGAGGAAAGGACACCAATAAAGCATCTGGCAGGGAGGAAAGGCAAAGAAATGAGTACAGCACAACGAGGTGTATCTAACTGCTTGTTGTTTGTTAAAACCATCCATCTGAGCTGGATGTCGTGTTCACAGCTGCTTCAGGAACCATTCTCTGTAAAAGCTGAAGTGGGAGTGGGTCAGCTGCTCCAAATCCAGTTCTCTGGGTGTTGGAAGAAATCTAAACTGATGGGTGGGCAGCAGACAGCAATGGAGAGGGCAGCTGCAGCAGGGATATAGGGACCAGGAAGCTTTGTGCAAACTCTGGAGGACATGTAAACCCTTTCCCTGAAATACACACACAGAGTCTTCTGGTGGAGGTGGGAAACCAGACACTTTTTTTTTTCTTTTTCGCTGAGACTGAACTCTCACAGGGCACAGAGCTACTTGCAAAAAATCTTAGCTCCAGTGCATAAAATTGTGCTCCTTGAATCTGCTGCTAAGGTCCAGTGCAAGCCTGTGTGCTTCATGGGGAGGGAAAGCAGCATCCTGCAGACATCTTAATGTCTATCCATTTTGAAAGGGGAATTCTTGTATTTTTTTCTGGATGCATCACATGCATGGGTAAATGCTAGAGATGAAATGATACTGTGTGGTGCTGTGTGGGGAAGTGTTTGGCACAGTGGGTTCTGTAAGGGAATGAGTGATGAGTCGCAGTCAGACACCAAGAAATGATGGTCCACAAGCCGCAAGTGCTTTTAATGGAATAACTTCCCACTTGTTTGATCAGATTTCTTGTAGTTTCCTCTCCCACCGCTGTGTTGAAGGGTGAGCAGATAGAGCTCAGTGAAAACGATACAAAAGAAACCACCCTGCATCTTGAGAAATGTTTAGCAGCTTAATTAGTTTCAGAGTATAATACTGTTAACAGTGCATAAATTACAGATATTTTCTGTTTATCTACATATGGTTCCTTCTTTGAGCTTCACCCATTATTATTTAAATGAGTATTTTAAGTATCTTTTCTCCTGAAAAGCAGCCCCTATTTTTCCTTCCAATTTGATTTCACAAAATATTGTCAAACATCTTACTAGTAAGAGGATAAACAATATAGTCTGTACTCCAGCAGCCATAAAGGGAGAGGAAAGGGGAGAGGAATGGGTTCCCCAAGACACCCAGGGTTATGACTCAGGAAATTTGGGAAACAGAGGTCTTCAAGAGTGAATGATTTTATGGGGTTTTCTGTGCTGCCTCCTGCTAATCTGCTAATCCTTTTGGAAAGCTAAAATTCATGGCTCTTTCTGGAGACAGCAGAGCACAGCTGATGCTGAGAGCAATTTTTTCTCACAGCATAATGCAGCCAGTGCTGAGGTCATGGGGGCTGCAGAGGCTGTGCTCTGACTGCAATGGTAATAAAGCATGCTGGTTTGCACTGAGCATGAGCCAATTCCATTCTGTCACATCCCAGTATCTTCAAAATTTAGCTGTGCCACTGCTGTGCTAGAGCTCCATGGCATGACAAGTGAGCTTTCCATTAGATTCCTGGCTGTGTTAAAATCAACAGCAAAGCAAATGCACTGTTTCTGCTAATTCTGAATAGCATTTCATTTGGACTTTGATGTGAAAGCAGAATACAGTAAGTTGCATGTAACAGAAACAAATTAGTTCAGTATCTCAAGTATCAAACTGTGTCATCTTGCAGGAAACCCTTTTGACAGCTGTTGTGTCAGCTAGTAGCCAGTGGGGAAAATACAAAAATTATTACAAACTCCAGAGTTTGTAATACAGAGGAGGGAGCAGGGGAGAGACAAACAACAGTGTTGACTTTTTTGTTTAATACAAACCACTGAAAGTCTCTTGCAAGAACAATTGCAAGGGCCAGTGACACCTTTCCCCAACTAAAGGTGACAATGGTGCTGTCATTTCTCAGTTCCTTTGGCTGGTGGCCCAGGTGCCAAACTGGAGAACCTTTCCAGGAGATTGCTGCTGCTGACTGTGGGGTTTGTAATCCCTGTAAGGAGCCTCAAGTACCTGTTCCTGTGAGGCAGCACTGAATGTCTGACCAAGAATTTGAAACTGGGCTTTTAGTGACACAGCCTGAATCTGTTCATCCTGAAAAGTGCAAAAGCTGGGCTTTGGTGTGGCTCTTAACAACTTCATGGCTTGGCATCTAGAGCATGTAAGTAAGTCAGGATTGGCCAAGCTGCCATCTTTCAAGCCTTGGAAGAGATTTGTTCATAGAGGTCATCTTTGACTAAATAAGTTAGGGTGGGCTGGAGTTCCTGCCTTTTTAACTCTGCAGGGAATGGGGATATGGATGGATGCTCAGGGGGAAGGAGGGGTTTAGAGGTGAGCTTCTCAGTGAGCATCCCACAGGATCCCCTGCCCAGGTGTGCAGTGCTTACTGAGGTCACTCCCTCTTTCCCTGCTGCAGAAAGCGCTGCACAGCCTTTTCCAGAGACCCATGCTGCCAGCCCTGTGGTGCTTTCTCGCTTGCTTGGAAAGGGAGCACAGCCCTGGTGCTTGGGGCAGCTGAGAAGAGGTTCAGGGGCATCAGGCTTTTGAGGATGGAGGGCTGAACATACTGAGCTGGAGCTGTCAGCCCCAGTTCTTCCAACCTTACTAAGCCACCCTCTGTCAGCAGTGCTCAGCCCTGGTATGAGCTGTGGCTGGTTTGGTGCTGCAGGTCACGGGCTTTGTGTCTGGCCAGGTGTGAGGACATGGAGAAAGGAGTGATTCCTTGTCTCCTGCTTCTCTCCCTTCTAATATCTCCACAAGGAGAACCAGCTGCTCTTTGAGTCTTCCCTTTCCCATGGAAATAGTGTCTCAGACCACCAGGCACTCTGTGTACCCAGCTCACTGGAGGTGCCCCAGATGTTTGGCTGTTTCCCTTGGGGTTATGCTCACATCTGCTGCGGGTGTGCAATGGCAGAGGGCTCCCAACACTGGATTGCTATGAAACTGGTAACCCATGAGAGCCCCGTGCCTGCTGCTGGGGTGCTGTGTAACACAGGGAAGTCCACCTATGGGACAAGGCAGGGCTGCAGCTCACCCTGAAGCTCAATGACTTAGAATGATGGTAGATATATTTAAAGCTACTACCCTTGGCTGTGAATGGCTTGGCTCTATGCTGCAGGCCTGTGCCAGACTGTTAAAATCACGTTGTCATTCTATGGTGTGTTTTATATCTTGTATCAGTAGGGTTTAAAATATGTGTGTTGTTTTACTTAACATTTCATTGATGACTGAGGGTTACTTTTAAAAAAGTTTTGTTTCTTCATCTACTTCAAGTGCATATTTCCTTCATATTTAAGGTAATACCTTATGCTTCAAGCTAGGCAGCTGTGCAAATCCCAACTGGATCAGAGCTACCTCTTTTTCTAGAGCAAAACCAATCCCAGAAGATCCATCTCTTTAAAACTTGGGCAATTAATGCTCCCAATATTACCTATACAAAAAAAGTCATTATAATGTAAATGCAGAGTCCTGGTGCTTTGCCTTAAATTCAACAAATGCCATCTCAGTTATATAAATTTATACAGGTTAAAAAACAATGACTGTGTTCTCCTTATGTGAACAAAAGCTCTTAAAGGTATTGCCCACACCGTACAAGCTTCTGGAAGGCTTTCTTGAAATCTTCATTAAAGATTGTGTAGATTAAAGGGTTAATAAGGGAGTTTATATATCCCAGCCATGCTAGGAAATTAGACATGTCCTCTGAGAGGTGACATGTTTCACAGGTATTAACAACTACTTCTTTTACAAAAAACGGGAGCCAGCAGATCACAAATGCCCCCAAGATCAAACCCAGCGTCGTTGCTGCCTTTCGCTCTCTCGTGCTGGAGATTCTCTGTTTTTTCCAGGACTTCTCATGCTTGGATTCAGACCTGGGACTTCGTAGGGTGATATTGATTTTATCAGAGCTCACCAGGGGATCTGAGGTCTTCTCTGTTGTGCTGGGCATTGAAGCTGATTTGGTGCTTCTTTCACCTGCATCCAAAAGGACTTGTCCATTCACCCCCTCCTCCCTCACGATCCGGCTGACGCTTCTCCTGTGAAATGTCTTTGCTGCTTTGTAGATCTTGTAGTAAAGGATGAGGATCAAGGCCAGCGGGATGTAGAAGGCGCCAAATGTGGAGTAAATGGTGAAAACGATGTGGTCGTGTTTGATGATGCATTCGTCCTCCCTGCTGGTTGTCTGGTGCCTCCAAAACAAAGGTGGCATGGAGATAAAAATGGATATGATCCATACGACTGCTATCATGATGCCAGCGTGCTTAGGTGTCCTTTTCCGGGCATATTCCACGGCATCCGTGATCGCTCTGTAGCGGTCCAAAGCAATGGCAGAGAGGTGCAAGATGGAACAAGTGCAGCATGTGATGTCCACGCTCAGCCAAATGTCACACACCACCTGCCCCATGATCCAGGTCTCCTTTACGATGTAGACAATGCTGAAGGGCATCACCAGGACTGCCACAAGGAAGTCAGTCACTGCAAGAGAGCAGATTAGATAGTTGGCGGGGTGGTGGAGCTTTCTTGTCACAATTATTGCAGTCATCACGAGAGAATTGATGGCCGTTGTCATTAGAGCGAGCACAGACAGGGTAATGGAAATGAGAATCTTGGATGTCGCCCATTTGAAAGGTTCTTCTGACGTACTGTTTTGTTCTGTTGAGTTTATTAAATCCATGTTCCCTTTTAAAGATGATCTTTACCCGTAGCAGTTACCTGTTGGAAAAGTAAAAACATTCAGATGATGCACCCTTGATTTTTGTCATCTTAAAAGATTGTGGGCCCTAAGCTTACAAAATGTTCAGAGTTAACATTAGAAATTATTTTGGCTCCAAACTCCAGCCTAGTTCCTCAAGTGGCTAAAAATACTTACTTCCCTTCCAGCTAGAAGCACTTATTCTGAATGCTTTGTAGAGGTGTCCTGAAACTGGTTAAATGTGAACAACCTCATCCTAAAGTAAACACTAATACTACTTTGAGGCTTGTGCTGTCTGCTCCACTAAGCAATGTAATGACTGTTGAAAACATTAATCCAGCAGGCATAATGCTTATTTTCCCCATATAAACTCATTTTCCCCATCAATAAGTGACTCATTCCTCGTGTATTAGCTAAACATGGGATTTCTTAACTGGGACATAGTTTTGAAGAGAAAATAGAAATGTGAAACATTGCCATATGCCCTGGAGTGACACCATACAAACAGGAGAAGAAAAAAATTGTGTGAAAGCGTCATTTTACGTCTTCCTCTTACACGTCTAAAATGAAGCAGCTTAATATGTTTTAAAGCTTCAAAGGGTTCACTTATTGGCTAAGTGAAATATTAGGTGTACGTTAGAGTCCTGAGAACGTCTTTACTTTTCCACAAGTTTTGCTGTTCTGTGGTTTCTGCCAAAGAAAACAGAAGGAAAGTTGGGTGCTCCTTGTTCTGTTAATGACTTTTCTATGGAAATAGCCTAGCTCCTCCTGTGGCTCAGCAGGGAGGAAAATACAGAGAAATACTGATGAAATAAGTTCTTGGTTGTGTTCTGGGGATGTGATCTTATCAAAAAGAGTTTCTGAGTACCCTGCAGAATGCAGCTGAATTGGCGTTTCCAGCTTTTACTGTGAGTGACAAGCTCTGCTCTAAAGAGGATCAGGTTTCATCCTCTAGTGAGTGTTGACCTGCAATTTCTTGTGTAAGATCTACTTGATGAACACCTGAGTGGGGTTATCTCTCACAGATTTTTGAGTGTGGTGAGTTGCACTTGTGCTACATTGGATGCCACATGTAAGGAAATATGTGAAATTAGTGAATATTTTTTCTTTCAGAAATCTGGTTTCATTAACATAACTAAAGCTTTTTGATATTATGCTGGAGTGGCTGAAAAATAATCTCGTTTACTGTTTATAACCTTGGACCCAACTCATTCATTTGGTTTGATATTTTAACCCAGGCAGTGCTTAATATGCTACTGACTGCTCAAGAGTGTTTTTAGCACTGATTGACCAACATTTAATTGAATGGAAGCACAAGAAAAGGAAACATATTTTATGTGGTGATATTTGCACATGCTGAGCAGATACTTGTCCTGTACATGAGCTGATCACAACGTGTGTGTGCTTTCCGTTTTCCTTTCTCTGAACTTGAAATATACTTTACACATGTAAAAACAGATCTTTCATCGTGTCAGTGTCACCTTAAAACCTTCTGAATCCACACTAATTTCTGTTTTGCACATACTTTTGTCTATAGCTAGCTGCATTCTAGGGAAAGAACAGACACATATGCTATTATCTGTTGAATGCTCAACCTCTGCTAAATAAATCTTCCTTTTCAAGCTTGTGCAAATACATAGGGAGAAAAGTTTATTGGGGAAAAACTAAGATATCTGTTGATATTCAGCAGTTGATCATACTATGGCTAATCACTCATTATGTTTAATCACCTTATAAATTTCTAACTCTTTGGATATTAGTCCTTAATTGCAAGCAAGGAAAAAGCAATTTAGAGCTAATGAAAGCTGATTAATCATTTTTGAAAGATTCTTCACTTTGAGAGTGTGGAGTAAGGAAGACGCTATGGGTAGATTTGTAAAAGTGGTGTGTAGGAATCAGTAGTTTCCTTAGTGCTGCTGTGATTTGGAGGCTCTTTATGGGAAGCACAGTGGCAGAAATGTGCACGTTTCTGTGCAGTGAATCTGCCTCTCTGTGTGGAGGCAGAGCCATGCAGAGGGCTGTAATGCTTAGGACTGCCAGTCAGAAAATTTGGTGGCTTTCCTAGTCAAGTGAGGTGGGGATCCTTTTCTAACTGGTGCAGCTTTACTGGGTGATCATTAACAAAAAAGACTGTTTTATAAATATGTGGAGTTGAAGCATTGGCAGTATTTAAGGACTGCTGCTTCTTTCTTTTTTGATAATGGCCAGAGTGACCTAATTCTGGATTTTTTCTTAAGTGGAACTCAGTTCAGTCAGTTGCTATGGCTGGCTTCTGTCCACAGCAAGCAACCAACCCACTTTTAGGAGTATGAAGGATGATCCTGTAGACAGTGCACTGGATTAGAATGCAGGAGAGCTGGCCTCTGCCCCTCTGCTTTAGCCTTTCCTTGTCAGTTTTTGAGCAAATTCATTACAGTGCTTCTGCTAATTCACTGTAAACAAGAGGAATTCCCTGGAAGCTTAGTTTGTTTATTTTTATTGCTTTCTCTTAGTAGCGTGATTTATCTCTTGTGGAATGGGTTTAGCAGTGACTATTTCAAGCATGTAGCTATTTTCAGAAGAATTACTACAGTCCAGATGTTTGTAAGGCTACTTTTGCGAAGCTGGCAGCTTAGTGCCCCTCTTGTAGAATCTATCAGCTTATCACTGATAACTCAAATTGCATGGCACCTGCTCTTGCTGCAGATGGAAGTGTTTTTTATTATTACCTTTCCAATACTCATCTGTTGTTCCAAAACTCTAGAAAGACCTAAAATTTTGATTGCATTACATTGTCCTGAATTTAAGACTGGTGAAAATTATGTCTTGTACTTTATTCATTATTTATTTATTATTTATGATTGTTGAACAAGAGCTCTGTAAACAAAGGAAGCTGCTGTTCACCTAAGATAGCGTGCCTCTTATCTTGGACATAGGAATACTATTATTTTGGAGGAATTAGCCACTTCTACATATCTTTTTTCCTTTCCTTCCAGATCTGGCATATTAAGGTGACCTGAATATAAATACTTCTTTGTCTGTAAACACACACATATATCATCTTACTGATCATGTTGAGAAGGCATGGGTGAAAATGTCTGTGCAGCCTTATCACAGAAGGAAACATTGAATTTGTCTAGAGGTCACTCAAGAAAAATTGATGTTGCTGGTGTTTCAGCTTTTTCTGAGCATGTGTGTGTGTTATTAAGCCCATAACCCGCCATTTGTGACTAAGATTTACAAAATAACAATGTAATTACTCTTGTTCAACAGCCCTAGTCTGCCTTTCCAGGTTTGGAAAACAGTACTACTCTGCCCTTGAAACATAAAAAATAATTAAAAATCCCTAATGCTGGAGAAACGTGACTGGGAATATCTTTGAGAAAGGCATCATCAGTCTTCTGTTTGGGGTACATTGGCTAAAAATGTACAGCTCTTGATTTTTGGTCCTGTTTTTTTCTTTTTATTTAATATTGCTTTAAGCATTGGTGGGAAGAAAACTTGCTGATTAGGGTTTAAGTACTGCTTTCAAATACAGGATTTCTGAGAGTACTGGGAGGGGTGGAAGAAGGTGTTCGCTTATTTTCTGTGTGGGTTCATTAGCAAAATGTGTCTTAATTAAATAACAGTAACAGGAATTAGACAGCAAAACAAGACAGGGATTGAATTTAGGGCATTTAAACTACTACAGGCAGCAATAGCAGCCTTTGTCCTTTAAGTAAACACAAGACAAAATTGTGCTGGGGCAGAGAAAACTCCTAGTTTTCTACCTTCCACCAGGCTTCAGCTGGCTTTGAAATGAAACATTTCACTGGCCAGCAGGTGTCCCTTGCTCTGTTGGCCACTCTGACCTGCAAGCCAATTGGATCTTTAATTTTTTTATGAGTCATTATAATGCAAATCCTTCCTAATGTGACTGTGTGTCTTTAGGTACTGACCAAGTGATGTACTAATGACAATTAGCTTCATCCATCATAGTAAGTGTGAGTAGAGGGGAATATGGCTGCTTTGGATTAAAAAAATCCCATTTAAGAAAGAGGAGCTTGTACTTGGTTCTGATAGGGGATGTGTACTTTGATCTTGAACTCCCATGTCCCAACAGAGGAGGAAGGGTAGAGGGACACTTTCACCTGATTCTTGGTGTCCTTAAATTCTTTCCTGCCAATAGCTCTTCCTAAGTCTCTAAAGCCACAGTGCATCCCTGGGACAAGGTTTGTAAGGGAAGTTCCTTGCCAGCTGAAGGCTGCTGCAGCAAGCCTGCCTTTCCTGGAATGCAAAGTAGATGTCTGTCAGCAGATCGAAGTGCGAAGCAGAAATTACAAGGTTGCCAACTCTTCTTACCCACTCTGCATTTCTTCATGCTTAAAACCTTATTTTTTTTTCTTTTTTCCCCCCGTATCTGCCACTTAGAGGTAGAGTTATTTCCAGTTCTTAATCTGTCAGCAAATATTTGTATATGCAAGCTAAAGTAATGCTTAAGATTCCCTGTTTAGATGATGTTATCCAGCCTATGGGACTGAGCACAGTTTGGACCTGAAATGTATTGACAGCTGGAGGAATATCTTAAAAGCTGTTTAGTTTTGCTGTATGACCCTCCACAAACTGGAGTTATTTATAATTCCCACTTGTAAAAGGTCACAACAGACCTAGAAACACAGACAACAAATAACTGCAAAATTACAGATAAATCAATTGAACTAATATCAACTAAAGATAATGTGGAATTCTGTCTCCCAAGCACGTCTCAGAGAAGCAAGGGCAAATAAATAGGCTTTGCAGCATGCCCTGAATACCAATATAACACAGGAAGGAAACAAATCTGAGTCCTGGAGAATAGGTATCTCCATGTCTGAGTACAGGCATCCTGATTTCTTACAGAATGGCAAAGAAAAGTCCCTTTCTGTGCCTTGAACCTGGATTTGGTGCTTTTCTTAGCTGTGTAACAGTCTTAAAAGTCCTTCTGTTGGCAAAATTATGTGCTGCAGTATGCTTTGTGTCAGGCA